CGTTCTCTTTAGACGTGATTGTGTGGAAGCCAAACACACAGCACTGTGCGCGGAGGCAGAAAGAGACCATCAGAGCGAAGCCGCAGACGCGAAACTTTCACTTTTGAAAATTTTCCATTTTCATCTTCTATTGGCATTTCTGCCTAGTATTAATTCAGACCTTTTTTTCCCACTTATTGTTATGATTAAGATGCAGAGATACATATAATATAGTCACGTATTCACAAAAGTCAGACTGTAGAATTTTAGAGTGCATATATTTATACTATAGTCATATATGAACGTATGCTATGAAGTCAGTTTCCAGATACATAACTATATACGTATCTGTTCCATACAGTCAGTGTATGTATTTATGCCATATGATCAATTTCCAGGCATGTAACGACATCTGCATATCTTTGCTCGCATAGGTCAGCTTCCAGAGCGCACGGAAGTGTGCTTGTGCCACACAGGCCGCAGAAATGAGGATCTCTTGCCCTTGAGGGAGTGGGCTGACATTGCTGTGAACTAGTCAGATCCGGGGCCAGATTCCAAATGACTGCGTGTGACACTGATGGAGGAATCACCTGGGCCTGTGACCCACGTCCAGGCTGCCCAGTCAGGCAATCTCAGAGACCTCGAATTTCACACTTAGGCGTTCGTTTCAGAAACTGTTTTCAGGGAACCTGCTTTTGATGAGGACACAACCCCCCCATAAGACAATAGGGTCTTCTTCCTCCATCTGTAGGTTCGAAATGAGGGCAGGTCAGAAGGAATGCCTGCCGCCCCATGGCTAGCTTTGCAGCAGAGTGACCCAGCCAAGGGCTGGGGTGGGGGCGGATAGTTGGGTCCCAGTCTTCTGTCTCGCACGGACTTTGATCACGACCGGAGCTTTTGTTCTCTTTTGGCGTCTTTCCCCATCTGTAAAACATGAGCATTGGACTAGAGTCTGTGTGCCTTGTAAATATTTACGTGGGCTGAAAACTTAAATGAAGAAACCCTACTCTGGGTGTAACCATGCAGGTCTCCCCGAGAGCTCTGGCAGCGGATCTGAGAGAGGCCATGGGGAAAAGGAGGCATGAACTGGCACATGCGAGATGCAGGAATGCAGAGCACGGAAGGCTGGGCTGGGTGCCCAGACGGAGCAGCTCAGGAAGGAGTGGGGCGGGCGGAGGCAGGGGGTGTTTGGCGAGGAAGTCACCTGCCCGGCCTTGCTAGGGGCACCGCAGGTGGGTGCCTCAAGTCTTTGAGCGAAAGCAGTAGTGTTTCGTGCCTCCTCAAAACCTTAGACCACCGAGGGCAGCACCAATCCTTGAGGGTGCTGGGACTCAGTCTCCTGAATGGCGGCGAGAAACCAAGCCTCGTCAGCGCCACTCCATGTAAGATGCCTGTTTTTACAGCTGCAAAAGTGACTTCACTTGAAAATGACAAACAAAAACAGCCACAACATTCCAGCATCCGCAAAAGGGCCGTCCCGGTCAGCCATGAAGTGCAGTGGGACAGCCAAAAAGTGGTAACCTGTACTTTTTCCAAGATAACTTTATTTTGACTTTTGTTTTGAGATCATTTCAGAGATGCAGAAAAGTTGCAGGAATAGTACAAAGAATGCCCCTACATGCCTCACCCATCTTCACCAAACAACATTTCCCCAGAACCTTCTGCAGACACGTCGCCCTTTATCCCTGAATACTTTGGTGTGTATTTGCTAAAAACAAGGCCAGTCCCTGACCAGAACCACAGTTTGGCCCTCAGTATCAGGAAATGAGCACTCATATAGTACTCATCTCTGATTCCTAGATGGTTGTTAGATTTCCCCAGTTAGTCCAATAAGGTCCTTTAGAAGCAGAAGGAAATCCCAGCTCACGTGTTGCGTTGCGCCAAGTCTCCTTAGCCTCGTCTGTCTGGCTTGGTGACACCAATACTGGGGGAAGGGGACAGACGTGATGCTGCAGGTTTCCTTGTCAGGCGTGTCTGCAGTTTCCTCATGTTAGGATCTGGATGGGCTTCATTAGTGGTGGTCCCGAGAGGTGGTGGCTTGTTGATTGTTCGTCCTGCCAGGAGGCACATGATGTCAGGTGTCTTACCTCTGGTCCTGTTGATTTTGCTTCCTTGGGCGAGGGTTCCCCACGGGAAGTTTACTGCATTTCCCCTTTATCTTAAATAAGTATCATGTGGGAAGATACTTGAGACTGTGTAACTATCTTATTTACTCACAATTTCACCCACTAATTTCAGCATCCATTAATGACTCTTGCCTTTATAACAGTCTTTATAGCCACAGTGGCTCTTAAATGCTAATTAGTGGTGACTCTAATTCCATTATGGCTTCCTCATTTATTAGTTAGCATCTGCTGAGGACAGTTGTCCTTTCCTCCCGTTTAATTATTCATTCATGTATATATGTGTGTGTGTGTATGTATGTGTCAGTGGGGATTCACAGATTGTGATTTTAATCAGTGATTATAATCCCTTGTCATCATGAATTATTTGATCAAGTGATGACGGATTTGGTCAGCAGGAGGCCCTCTGAGCCAGTCCTGTGTCCTTTGCTGTGTCTCTGTAATAAAGAGATGGCAGTCCACGTCATTCTTGGAACATTCTCCTTTCTCTATGGCACAGGGAGGCACTCAGACCAGACGTTTCTCCAAAGCATGCTGGGTGCCTGATGTCTCATAGCTTCTAGGGCTTTTCAGCTGGCAAACTCAAGAAACACAGACACACACACACAGACATTCACACATGTTTGTGTTTCACATATGATATGCTTGCACATGTGTATACACGTATCTATGCACATGTACTGCATGCAGCCACACACATCTGTCTATTTCTATACATATTAAAAACCATGAGGTCATAACTCATATTTCCAATTGTAGTCTGATACCACAGATTATTTTTTAAAAGCCTATGAGGAAGTTTCATACAGTGAACTATGAAGAAAACAATGAATAAACTCTAGTGCAAAAGTATCAATCACATCTTAGACATTAATTGTATTAAAGTACTTTTAAAATTGCTTTGGTGAAATTATGTAGGTATGAAGCTATGTAGGTGTAGAATCAATGAATATGTTCTTGCTATGGATTCTGTTTTGGGAAGGACAAAAGATCCACGATTTAAAACGAAAATCCAGGCCTTTAAATCAATTCCTGTAAATTCAACAAACATTGATGATGTTCTCGGTCCCTGCAAGCCCCCCGCTTTGTCCTGATGGCCTCACCTGGTGTTGGTTAGGAATGATTTGCTATGTGGGAGGTACCACTGGCCAACTTTTCTCCTCACACCCATAAAACTAGCTTCTTTGTTAACAGTACTTTTGCTGGAGAGGCTTTTGCCATGTGTCTTGGAATATTTATAGTTATATTCTGGTCAGTGTTCAGTTAACAGGATTGTAATTATAAAACCTAGTTTTCTTGAAGCCTTCAAGCTCAATGTATAGATCTTTCTTTTCCTTTTTTAAGAGGTGGTCTCCTACTCTGTTGCCCAAACTGGAGTGCAGTGGTATAATCATAGTTCAGTGCATTCACAATTGCTGGGCTCAAGTGATCCCCGTGCCTCGACCTCCCCCAGCTGGGATTACAGTCATGAGCCACCATGCTTGGCCAATTTATTTATTTATTTTTTGTAAAGGCAGGGTCTTGCTATATTGCCCAGGCTGTTCTTCAATTCCTAGCCTCAGGTAATTTTCCTGCCCCAGCCAAAGCTTTATTTAAAACACTAATAATTTTTATAAAAAGTAAAAGTTGCACTTTGGGAGGCTGAGGTGAGAGCATTACCTGAGCCCATGGGTTCGAGACCAGCCTGGGCAACTCAGTAAGACCTCATCTCTACAATAAATCAAAAAATTAGCCAGGCGTGGTAGCACGGGCCTGTAGTTCCAGCTACTCGGAAGGCTGAGGCAGAAGGATCGCTGGAGCCCAGCAGGTCGAGGCTGTGGTGGCCGGGAGCGGCCACTGCACTCCAGTCTGAGAGACGGAGTGAGACTCCAACTCAAAAACAAAAAAGAAAAGAAAAAAAGAGCTTTCCCTCGTTCTGTAAGGTTTAATGAGTTCACTGGGCCTGCATGATTATTTATTTATTAATTTTTTTGAGTCGCTCAGACTGGAGTGCAGTGGCATGCTCCCAGCCACCGCAGCCTTGACCAGCTGGGTTCCGTTGATCCTTCCGCCTCAGCCTTCTAAGTAGCTGGAGCTACAGGTGTGTGCTCCCGCACCCAGCTAATTTTTGATTTATTGTAGAGATGGGGTCTCACCGAGCTGCCCAGGCTGGTCTCAAACCCTCGGGCTCAGGACCTCGGCATCCCTAAGTGCTGGGATGACAGGCTGAGCCACCAAGCCTGGCCGATGCACATCATCTTACATGTGCAGCAGACTTGCAAAATAAGCAGGTCACACTGGCGGGGGGCAGGGGGGATTTCAAACGTCTTTTAAAATGGTGTGCCCAAAGCAGCCTGGAGATTACAAAACAAAATCACACCTCTAGAAACACAGTTGATCAAAAAGTAAGTTACTTTTTTATACCACCTAATTAAGGGAAAGAGAATGAGCATTCAGACCCATTCAGGGGACTCTGGCAAATGAAAGTTTGAGACCAGTAAAGGCCCGGAGCCTCCTGCGTTTCCAAGCCAGGCAGTAGTGGTTGGACTATGCTCCCGCTCAGGGTGGGGTTTTGTTGCCAAATCATGAGTCTGTCTAAACATTTCCTGTAGCCGGCATGTCATTAATCCCATTAATCCTTCCGTCTTACACCCTCGTGCCTTCTCCGGAGTAACTGACGGGTGTCATCGCCTCTGGCGCTCTCCTTACTCAGCATCCTGCGCTAAGGCCTGGGTGAATTGGTGGCAATCCTGTCACCCCGTGACTGTGTCTACTCGTTTACTTGTATGTGTTTCGTGTTTCCGCACCTTCCTGCTCTATGGTCTCTTTATTGACACGTTGAGGATGAATTTGAAACTCTTTATCTTAAGCGCAATGAAATCTACTTTTTCCCCTCACCAGGCGTCATCTTCTGAAGACATGGGAAGGTGGATTGGCATTCTACTAGCTGAGACAGGGTCCTCCACAGACCCGGGAGCCCTGCACTATGACTATATAGATGTGGAAATGTCTGCAAACGTCATTCAGACGGCCAAACAGACCTTCTGGTAAGCTCCATTGATGGGGGAGATGGCACCAAAGTTGAGGGACTTTATCATTTGCCTAATTTTTCGACTTAGTCTTTATGTGAGTGTATAGTCTCAGAAGAAAAACTACTAAAGACTTGCTTTTGGATTGTATTCCTCCAGATTTTCCAGAAATGTTTTTGCCATTTCAACCCTCTGGGTTTTCTCCTAGATCGTGGGTTGGCAAACTTGTTGATTAAAGGATGCGATAATGAGTATTTCTGGTTTTGTGGCCAAACATTCCCTGTTAGGACTACTCAACTCTTCCACCACAGCCAGAGACATAAACAAATGGGTGTGTCTGTGTTCTAATAAAACTTTATTTGCAAAAACGGGCAGCAAGCCAGATTTGGCCTGTAGTTTGCTGACCCTCTGTTAGAGGAACAGCTCTACGAGACAAGTAATGTTACATATTGCTGTATTGCTGTAATGAGGACTGAGTGTTCTTTTTTTTTTTTTGAGTTGGAGTCTCAAACTTGTAACCCAGGCTGCATGGCCACTGTGGCCTCGACCTGCTGGGGTCTGGCGATCCTTCCGCCTCAGCCTTCCAAGTAGCTGGAACTACAGGCTCATGCCACCACGCCTGTCTAGTTTTTGTGATTTATTATAGAGACGAGGTCTCACCAAGTTGCCCAGGCTGGTCTCAAACTCGGGCTCAGGCAGTCCTCTCACCTCGACCTCCCAAAGTGCTGGGATTACAGGCTGAGCCACTGTGCCCGGCCAGGCCTGAGTTTTCAAAGTCATCAGTCAAGTACTTTGTAAACTTAAATTGTGATTTTTAAAAAATGCTGTTATGTAGGAACACATCCTTTTGAACCATGAATATCTATTTAACATACCGATGGCAAAGATATAGGAACAGTTCTCAGTGTCACTTTCCACAGACTCCTGGGGGCATTCAAGGCTCTTTCAGGCAGTCTACAAGGTCAAAACTATTTTCATAATAATACTCATGATGCCTGGTGTGTCATGCCTTGGGTTCTTTGACTTTGCCCCAGAAAAGCATTTCAGAGCAAGTCCCAAGTTAAGACAGAATTTATCAGAAAGAAAGAGACATCCCTAGTGGGAATGGGTGCCTTAAGAGAACAGACACACAGACACGTGCTTGCCCTTAACAAGAAGCTTTATACACTTCTACCATCATGATTAAGCAAACCATGGGCTAAGAGTGGATTGGTCACCATCTCTCAACCTTCTAAGGTCACAAGGACCTTCTGAATAATGAAAGTTATGGCCTAACTAGATTTGGACTTTTTTTTTTCTTCCTAACACAGTGTTTGTGTGTTGGGTAATTCCCTCCCTCTTGTTCCTGTGATTTACTGTGCTGGTGGTTCCACATTCCAGCCGCAAGGTGGTCAGGTCTGGTGTGCCTGGTTGGCTGGGTGGAGGTTGTGTGCCAATTAGAAAGATGTCTGAGCGCTTACCCTATTTTAATTTAAACAACTGCCTACAAGAAACTGTCTGTGTCTAACCCTCACTGAATAACCTGTCTCGCTAAGACATTTTTTTCCTTTTTCACTGTTTTGTCATTTATATTACTGATAATTACCTAGCACAGGTAGTAGTAGCACCACACTGTCCTAATGAACATTGTGTCTGTCCAGCACATGTTTGTGACCGTAAGAGAAAATGCTGGTTCACTTAACATGTCCTTGATGGAGCAGTGAAAATCGTTACTTTTTCTGTTAAGAGCTAGGTAGTAGATATTGTTATTGAATCTCTTAAGTACATGTCTTTTTCATGTTTCCTGTGATGTAGTGAGCCTGCATAAACACAGAACAAGAGTGTCTTGAGGAAAAGTTCTCACACAAGTGAGTTGCTGATGGAGCTAGCTGCCTTTAAAAAAAATCTCTTCATTTTCACTTGAAAAGCAGCTGACAAATTATGGTTTTTCACACTTAGGTATTTGCGATATTTTCTTGAAAGTGAACTAACTATACCCGTCATCTCTAGGCAAATGCTTGGCAGTATTTGTTCCCTGGGATTTATTTGAGCTTTCACTCAAAAATTAGAATTTTGGAGAATTTGCATCTGCCATGGTGAGCGTGCCAGTTTCCCACTGCTGACAGACTCTTCTGCTGCTGAGATCTGTAGCCATATCGAGAGTGATCTGTGGGTGTTGTGTAATGAGTGGGTCAACATTTGGAAGATTTGCATAAATCACACGTGGGTCAAGTCCCACTCTTAGTGCAAGAGAAAGAGTAAACCGCTGCGATACCACGCAGAACCTTGGGCCACATGAGCCTAAACCTCGCCTCGGGTGTTTTTATAGCAACGCAAAACGAACTGATACAGATGCCAGCACTCACAAAGGAGCAGATTTTAAAGTAGCAGGCTTTAACGTAAGTTCATTGGTATGATCTGAGATTCCACATTGCAACTAAACATTAAGAAGCTACTACTTGCTGAGTTTTGGTATATGCGTTAGTCCCTTTGGCGTTGCTATAAAGGAACACCTGAGACCGGGCAGCCTAAAGAAAAGAGCCGAACTCCACTCACGGATGGCGCTGGCATCTGCTGGGCCTTGGGGAGGCCGCAGGGAGCTTTGATGTGCGGTGGAAGGCAAGGGGAGCAAGCGTGTCACGTGGCGAGAGTGGGCGGAAGGAAGGAGGGGCAAAGGAGGCACCAGGCTCTTGACCTGGGGGGCCGTGGTCGTTGGCCTCTGAAAGGTCCGCTGCGAGATCACCGGCACGAGGCAGGTCGACGAACGGAGGAAGAGGCTTGCAGGCTTCATTGGAACGTGTGTCCCCAGGGGCCTTCAGAATGAAGACCCGGCGTCCCAGTGCGTTACAGAAACTGAAATGCCATCTCAGGTGACAGGAAGAAGGGGGCTGGCCTTCAGGTAAAGCAGGTTTTGGAGGGGAGAGGGATTCTCCTGGGCACAGGCACACATGGTTGGGAGAGCGAATAGCTGGGGGAACAGAATGACTTGTGATGAGTTTCCTTTGGAGTCGAAACGCCCCTTGGAGGTGGTCTTCTGCTCCAGTGAGGCCACCTTGCTCTTCTTTTCTGCACTAGAGAATAGGAGATGGCATGGGGGGAAGCACTTCTCTGTGACTAAGCGGGGCGGGAGGGTCAGAGAGACCTGTGGCAAAAAGGCCGTATTTCGGGGTGAATGTCCCTTCACTTCACTTCTTCATAGCCAGCTCTTAGTGCATTAACGGAGTGAGAACTCACTCATGACTGCAGGGAGGACACCAGCCATTCATGGAGGATCCCACCTCTTGCCCGGTCACCTCCCGCCGGGCCCCAGCCCCGACACTGGGGGTCACTTTTCAGCATGAGACTCGGAAGGAACAAACATCCATATGATATCAGTGTAGCATCGAGGAAGGCTTATCCACACCTATCTGAAAAAGCTATTAAAATATGCCTCCGTTTTCCAATTCATATCTGCATGAGGCTGGATTTACTTTTTATAGTTTAACCAAAGAAGCGTGCTGTCACCTACTGAATGCAGAAGCAGCTGTGAGAATCCAGCCATATTCTGTTAAGCCTGACATTAGTGAGGTTCACAAACTGTAAGACAGTTCCACTTTCACACGAATGAGAAGGAATACATTTCTCAGGTGTTTTTTGTTGTTTTTTTTTTGAGTTGGAGTCACACGGGCTAGAGCGTAGTGGCACGCTCATGGTCTGGGTCCTGCCATGGTGCTTACTAACTGGAAAAGTTTGGACAAGTCTTTCACCGTCTGTTTGTGCCTCTGCTTCCCTGTGTAGACAAGAGAGAGGCTGGGCGGTACCATGGCTAGAACTTCTTCTCACTCCAAGATCTCGGATCCCTGGACTCCTGCTTGTATTTCTGTCATCCTTAGAGCATCTGGATTTGGAGCTGAGGGAGGTGGGTTGAAACTACACTGGGGATGGGTTCTATCAACAGCAGGTGAGGTTATGCATGCCAACACCTGCTGGCAGGCCCGCCAGAGCTGATACTGCAGAGTTGAAGGTCAACTCAAGCGTTCACACGGTTCTTCACCTGGTTGACGAGGAATCCCACCGTCGACCTTTTCCACTCAAGTGGCTTCCACAGGGAATTGGAGCAGTGTTCCCTTGTGTCTTAATGGTGACTAGACAGTCATTTATTGCTTGGCTAGGACATTCTGGCACTACGAAATAGTTTTTCTCAAAGTGAAGGTAGCCTTAGCTCATCTTAGGAACCAAAGCTTTGATAGCTTTGGCACCATGAGCACAGATTTTCCAGGAAATCCCCACTGATACCAGGCTTTCTGTAGTTCAGACTATCCTTCCCTCCTTCCGCAGGGTCTCACTGTGTCGCCTTAGGCTGGACGGAGTGCAGTGGTGTGCTCACAGCTCACTACAGCCTCAATTTCTTGTGTCTCAGCCTCCTGAGTAGCTGGGACTACAGGCATGCACCACCACACCTGGCTTATTGTTTTCTTGTCTTTGTAGAGGTGATTTCTTGCTGTGTTGCCCAGGATGATCTCAAATTCCTGGCCTCGAGTGATCTTCCCATCTAGGCCTCCCAACGTGCTGTGATTACAGGCGGGACCATCGCACCTGGCTTAAGCTAGTGATTGTACCACTGTTGTTTGGTGTGGAAATCAGGACAGATATAGTCGAGTGCTTCATGTTCTATTTATACTATTATCGTCTAGTAAGATTTTCATTGGCAAAATGTAGGTAGATTGCAAGGATTCTTCTGTTTATGAAGTACTATTCTCCATCATATCATTAAGTACTATGCAGTAAATAAAATACATTTAAAGTGGCTTTTTAAGGGATTCAACAGCCATAAATCTAGTTTTTTGCAAAATGTATGCAACTAGATTGGTATAAAAGTGTTTATGGTTGTTAATGACACTTATTTGGAAGATAGTAATTTTTAAAAAAATCTATCCTATGTTCACATGTGTGTAATTTCTACTGTAATTAGTAAACTGATAACCACATTTAAGAGGCACCCTTAATTTAACTATTTCTCCCAGAATACAACTTAGTTCCTACTTTATAAATGAGTGGAGTATTAATCTAAACCAAACGTGGGAAGGTCACATTTTTGGGAAAAGATTGTAGGTCGTAGTATTGAAAAATGGTTCATTAAAAATATGCATATATTGAATGTATGGCTGCGGGAATCTTTTCTGCCTCATTAAAATCTTCAGAGGAGATGTCAGTTAGCAAGAAAGCTTATTTTCATTTTTCAGTTTGCTAGCCAAACATTCCTGCAAAGCCTGAGAAAGACGAAATGTAACAAGGAAGCAAGGTTCAAAGCACGGCAGCGTGCCAGTGTGATGAGTATTCTAAGATTAGGCGAAGTTTTTTTCTCTTGTATAAATTGGCAGGCAGTTAATGAATCTTTCTGAAACTATTAGGGGATTATCTGTTCAGCGGGCATGTCTGGGGGAGAAAAGGCAATAAGACATATATTTGGAAAGAGGAAAGGAAAAGTCTAAATACTGTAGATTCTCCCAGGAGAAGTGGTACATTTAGGAACTTTAAAATGGTAAACATGGAAACGTTTTCCTGAGAGCCCATTTCAGAATGGCTCGGTGGCTCAGCCTATAATCCCGCGCCTTTGGGAGGCTGAGGTGAGTGGATTGCCTGAGCCCGCGGGTTCAAGACCCACCTGGGCAACTTGGCGAGACCTCATCTCTACAATAAATCAAAAAATCAGCCGGGCGTGGTAGCGCAAGCCTGTAATTCCGGCTACTTGGAAGGCTGAGGTGGAAGGATTGCCGGAGCCCAGCAGGTCGAGGCTGCGGTGGCCGGGAGCGGCCACTTCACTCCAGTCTGGGCGACAGAGTGAGACTCCAACTCAAAAAAAAAAAAGATCTAAGATTATATAAACATAAGGAGGATCCTGGAGTTTTGTCCTGAAGCTCTTTTTGAGACCCGCTCAGCTGGGGACCCAGCAGCAAGCTACAGTGAGGGCGGGGACAGAAGCAGGGGTCAGCGTGGCCGCGAATGGAGCGCAGGCACCCTGTGGGAAGAGCCCTCTTGGTACTCCCTTGTTGGGATCCCTGGAGGTTACTCTGCAGAAGATTTCCTGTGATCCCCTCGTGTTGCTGGTTTAACAAGGGGCACATGGCCTCCTTCCCTCACTTCCACTCTTCGATTTGGCTGAAAGTTAGTTGCATTGTGGAGAGAGCACCAAGCCAGAGGCAGGAGGCCTGCTGTACAGTTCTCTTGGGGCCTAGGGGAGTTGGCTAACTGGCCGAGTTGCTCTCTGGAGGTGAGGGGTGGCCTGCCGCTGGCTACAACCTCTTCTGCCTGGGACATCCTGTGTGACCTTACCTCCTGTGCTCCTGAGTCCTGTCAAGTACAACCACGAGGCATCCTGCATGTCTGTTCTATGCAAAGAAGCAGGAGTGCGGCCATCCAGGGCCTCCATTCTGGCACACCCTTGTCTCTGCTGTATGCTGGCATCTGTGATAGAGACTGCAGGCCAGTGTAGACAGCCTGCCTCATGCTTGGTGAAATCGCTTAATCCACATCTCTTCCCTGGTCTGTAGCAGGCATGTGTGCAGACAGCAGTCTGGGCTTGAGCAAAAGCTCTCATACAGCAGAGTAGCCAGTGGAACTAGTTGTCTTTTTAACAAAACTCTTTTTATTTTGGCTTAAGCAGCTGACAAACTATAGTTATTCACACTTAGATATTTGCAGACATGTTCTTGAGATTGCACCACCCACACCCGTCATCTCTAGGCAAACTGTTGGCAGTATTTGTTGCCTGTGATGTATGCGAGGAGAGACACAGACCCAAATGTGGGTCCCAGAGCTGTAGACACATACCAGCACCGGTGGGCACGTGGGAGGGGTGGTCCGCCGCCGGGCTTTATTCCATTACTGCCTCATTGACAAGAAGTCTCTCCTGTCATTGCGGAGTGCTGAAATGTTTGTTTTGCTGCACCTTCCTTCTTGTGTATTTTCTCCTCCTGTGTATTTTCTTTTCCTTTGTGTACTTTTAGGCGTTTTAAGTGTCACATAAGTTAATTTCATGTGCACAAAGAAAGAAGCGTTATGTAAACCAAAAGGAGCGTGCTGGAGGCATAAGGAGCCGCGCATGGCATCCCTGCCCAGCAGAGGGCAGTACGTGCCCCTCGGAAGCGCCTCTTCCCGGCCACGATGGCGGGATTGAGCCCGTGGCCTTTCCCTGACAGTGTGGCCTGGTATGTTGGGCCGTTGAGAGGCTTCTTGTCCAAGAGGCAGATTTCACTTCACCCTGGGTCCTTCTCACTGGCTTTCACGTATGCCCCTCTTTATTCCTCTAGTGTCCACAGAGATGCCAAATCCGGTGAAGAAACACAATTTGAGGGGAAAAAAATCAAGTTTAAAAAAAAAAAATTTTAGACCCTTACACTTTCCCCCCGTTAGGAGAACGTGTTATCAAGGTTCTTTCTTGCCTTGGCATTTGTGTTTCTGCTTATGACACACAGAGCTCCACGAGGCACCATGCATTCATTCATCCGGCATGTGCCTGCAAGTGCCTTCTGTGCCCACGTGGTCTTGGACCTTTGAGATGCGGGTGTGGCCAGCGCTGGCAGAGGCAGGTTCTCTTGAAGCTGAGCTTCTAGTGGAGAGAAATGACAAGAGACACACACATTGAGGGGAAGGAGGCGGGTGGTGGTGCTGTCCTGCCAGGTGCCTGGGAGGAGGGGCTCTGGGGAGCTGCCCGCCAGGCAGAGGGGCTCGTGGCGCCCATGAGGCTGGCCGTGGTGGGATGGGGGGAGGAGGAGGGAAGCGGAGACTTGGTCTCTTGGAGCCTCGTGGGATGTGGATCCCACAGCTCTGGATTTTTCTCAGAGGGACTTCAGAAGCCCCTGGGAAGTATTGGTGGAGGCTGATAGGGTCCGGCATGTCTTCCACAGAGAAGCTGTTTTCTGTAACTACACACACAATGCTTACCCACTTCACCTCTGGCCGCTAGATGCATGGGTTTTTCCCACACTGAGCAGTTCTCTGGGTCTCCGTGGGCACCGACCCGGTGTCCCACGCCTTGGGGCAGTCTCTGATGGGTCCCAGCGGGGTGTCCTACGACTTGGGACAGTTTCCTGCAGGCACCAGCCTGGCATCCTGAGACTTGGGACAGTCTCTGGTGGGCACCAGCTGGGTGTCCTATGACTCAAGACCATCTCGGGCAGGCACCAGCCTGGTGCCCTCTGATCCAGCGGTCCCCGGCCTTTTTGGCAGCAGGGACTGGTGTTGTGGAAGACAGTTTTTCTGTGAACTGGAGTGGGGAAGGGTGAGGTGGTTTCGAGATGATTTAAGCACGTTAGATTTATTGTACTTTATTTCTGTTCTTAATCATAACATGCAATTAAATAACTATCATGAAATTATGATTCTGATATGCGTCTGCAAGCAACGGATGTGTGATGGTCTCTGTGCAGTCAGACCTCTCTGCATTTGTTAATCTGTATTTGCAGGCACTCTCCAGTGCTAGCATCACCACCTCCACTCACCTAAGACCATCAGGCGTTAGACTCTTCTAAGGAGCATGCAACGTAGGTCCCTCGCATGCACAGTTCACAGTAGCGTTTGTGGTCCTATGAGAATCTAGTGCCACCACTGATGTGACAGAAGGTGGACATCAGGGGGTTATGCCAGTGATGGGGAGTGGCTGTAAATACAGATGGGGCTCTGCTGGCATGCATGCCACTCACTTCCTGCTGGGCAGCCCTGTTCCTAACGGACCTTGGCCTGGGGGTTGAGGACGCCTGCTCTAATTCACCAACTCAACTCTGACACGTCTGCCAGGAGTTGACACCAGTTCCTGCCGATTGGGGCTCTGAACCCCCAGGCTGATCTCACGGTACATGCCAGTTGCAAATCGGGGTGTGGCCTAAGCTTCTGATTAACCTGATGTAAAGGGGAGGGCTGCACGACCCCCCCACGTGGGTTCAGTCCCTTGCCAGAATGGCTCACAGAACCCAGGAAGACAGTTCACATACTAGGTTGCTGGCTCATGGCCCAATGGCAGGGGTGCGCAGGGCGTGGCATGGGGGACGCAGAGCGCCTCGTCCCTCCCAACGCCTCCATGTGTCGCCCATCCTGGAAGCTCTTGGGACCTGTCCTTTTGGGTTTTTTTGACACTGAAGGTTCCAACCCTCTAATCACATGGTTGTTTCCTCTGGCATCCAGGCCCCATCCTTAGTAGTTTCCAGAAGTCACTTCGTTAACATAACCTCCTGTGTGCTTGAAAGGGGCTTCCTGTGTGTTAATAAAAACCATCTCTTCACCCTTAAGCTGTTAAAATTTAGGAAATTCCAAGTCTTTTAGTAAGTCCTGCCAGGAACTTGGGACAAAGCCCCAAATACATATGTCTTATTGTATCACAGTATCACCCCCTAAAGGATTTCTCTGGCACTGTCTGACTCTCTCAGCAGCTACAGGAAGTTCAGGAAAGGGTGAGGATGGGCTGTGTGAGGTGCCAGTGGGGCTGAGCGAGTGCCGAGGATGCCATGGATGCTTCTAGGAAGGGAGTCCATGAACCCTTTCCGGTAAATATCTCAGCCTTGCAGCCTTGAGAGCTAGCAGACTCATGAAAGGGGCACGTGTTCCAATAAAACTTGATTACCAACACAGGCTGTGAGCAGGAGCGAACCCCGTGAGAGACGGGCGATGATCAGAATGGTTGATTTTTGTAACCTTTTTCTGTAGGCATGGTCTTATGTGCCACCTTCCACCCTGGCCCTGATGCTGCAGGGTGGTGCCCTCCTAATTTCACAGGGAGTCTGAGTCTGTCCCGGTTCCTCCAGCAGAGCCCCCACTCTGCCCGGGTTCTGTCTCCTACTACTTCTCAGTCCCACAGCCTCTGACATAGCCTTGGGCATAGAGGCAGAGCTCGAGTAAGACTGGTTGGTTGATGGGTTGGTTGGTTGGAGAGCGCAGGCGGGTGTGGGTTTTCACGCCTCTCCTGTCTTTCAGTTTCATGAACAGGCGTGGCCTATCCACTAACCCGTATCTCGGGGGCACCGCCAACGGCTATGCCCACCCCAGTGGGACGGCGCTGCACTACGACGACGTCCCGTGCATCAACGGCTCGGTAAGTGAAGTGTGCCTTCGTGCGGGGGCGAATGGCTGGTGTTGGGAGAAGCCAAGGCCATCTGGAAAGTTCTGCACATCAGTACCCCAGCTTCCCGTCTGAATGAGAGGCTTTCAGGCAAGAGGAAAACGCAGTCTCGTCCCTCCCCTGGTTTCTGACATGCTGTTCATCTGAATCTACATTTGAACAAGCGCGTGATTTGACACCAGTAGACAGTTTATCCTTTGATGTCAGTGTCATGAATTAAACCTGTCGGCTCACCTTGAAACACTGACGGAAGGATAGTATATAGAGTAACTAAGGCTCGGATAGCTTGGACAGACCAAAATATGACACCATGTAAGTTATCAGTGAACGATTACCTCCTGCTATGATAAGAATGCAGAGAGGTCGTCGTCTGAAAGGAAATGTTGCCACAGTGGGTGACCGTCTTACAAACCCAAGACAGAGCCCTTGTGGTTGAGCTGAAGCACCTGGGCTCCTGACCCCGGAGACCTTGAGTGGAGCTCTTTGTATGAAGCCGGTTTCCTCCACAGTCTGCTTGGCCCCAGGAGTTTTAAAACACGTGTGGTGTTTTGTGGCTTATGGATAACGAGGTGGCCTCACCAAACGTTTGTTTCACGATGTCTCTATTATTCATCCAGCACCCATTTACAGAGCATCCTTTCTGATCCAGGCGCTGTGTCTGGGCGTTCAGAGGCAAGGCCGTCCCAGGGTGAGCAGATGAGTGACAAAGGGACATGCCATCTGTCCCCAGTCTTGGGTAGGTTTAAATTGGCATCTGCCTTCAGATATTTTTCAATATCTGCCTTTCAGATATTTTCCGGTCCAGGCAGTCTTCCCTGGCCTCCCTCCCATTTCCTCCAGGGGAGGGGGGTCTCCAGGATCTGAGGAGCTCCTGGTGCCCACTGTGTCCACCGCCCTAGCTGCAGAGGGGCTTGGGCAAGTCCTCCCGCTAGCGACTGTGCCGTGGCAGCCTTGGGGAGGAGACACTCATTCTATTCCCTGCTCTTGCTGCTGACCCATTTTCCAGGTAGCATCATCTCTCCTGGCCTCTGCTCACCCTGTGTCTCTTGACCGGACATCTTGTCACTGGCTTTGGACTCCAGTTACCAAAGTCATCTGCTTCTTGGGAATAATCCACTTCTCGGAGCCTCTGATCGGTGCTTTTGGAAAGACAGTCCCCAAACCTAGCCCTGGCCCTTCCTCCCTAACACCCTGCCATATGCCTTCTCCTCAGAGATGTCTCTCCACAGGCACGCCTCAACCATGGACCTGTCAGGGTGAGCTGAGTGGTCGAGGATCTAGAAACCACACCAATCACCACCTGGCTCCTCCCTGCCTGTCCAGCTCAGACGTTCATGACGCTGGTTCAGGCTGCCCCTGGGAAGGAGTTTTCCTTTGGTCCTTCACAGCTTAATCTGTCTTAGAAATAAAAACCTGCCATCCTTCAAAGGCTTTGCATTTAGGAAATGTTTCTGTGTGCATTGCTGGGCTGGCAGTGGAAGCTTGGAAGACATATGCCCTGTGTGAACACTTGTGGCTTTTTTGCTTATAACGGGCTTCCTCTGTTCAGGCCCGGCCTGAAGCTATTTCTGTGTAACCTCTTTTCTGGAGGGCCTCACGTCTAGGTTTTAAACGGTTAAAACTCTGCAACCCAGTACTTGGCATTTCAGCAATGGCGTTTCCACTTAGCAGTTTTACCCATTCAGTGTTCTCCCTGGTGCTTAGAGCAAGAAGAAAGTGTGCACACCCACACTTCCAATCTAGAAACTTCTATGGTGTCTCTGTCGCTGTTTTCGAAGTCTTCCATGTGATGTCATCCTTGGTATTTTAGGAAAATGATAGTCTAGTCTAGACCATTTTAATACCTCTGGACAAATATATGTTAGGTTGTCATTATGAAACTCACACTTTCAAGTTTATCTGTATGCATTGCTATTTTTAGACTATAGATTGGTTCCCACATCACAAAAATAGACACACTGAGGTGACTGCAAAAGGATAAAACACTCCCACTGTGGAATTTTAAATCTTTTCTATTTTTATAACAAAAGCTTGTAATTACAGTCTGACAGAAAGAAACACTGCAAGAAGACTATAAAAACAGGGTAAAATGAGCATAATAGAGGAATTAATATTGCTTTTCTTATAATGCAAGGCAATTTATAAAGACTTTTAAAACTTAAAAGGACTGACTGTGGTTGTCAGTTTTTGGTTTGAACTTATACTTAAATGTCCGTGTCCTAAGATTCTCCTGGCCACACGGTGCTTGTAGCTTTTTTAGTCCTTTTTAAAAGGTTTTCTGCTAAAATAATGCCACTAGATCAGTCAGATATTGAAGCATCCATATTCCGTGATGGTTTGACTGCTTTCTTTGACAGACGTGACCCTTTCTTCAGGTGTCCAGGGCAGGAGATGGGGAGCTGTGTGGACAGTTACCTGAGGGACTTAGGTCATTGCCTCCTGCATGGCAGACTTGGAGGGGTCTGCAAGTGGTCCAGATTCTAAGCCCTCACTGACCCCAGGAGGAGCTGAGGCAGGCAAGTGATGAGCACAGCTCTTAAAGCCAGCTCTGCCTCTGACCAGCTCCACGACTTGTCTCAGCCTTAGTTTCCTCCCACTTCCTAAGGTGACCATGAAACGTATGAGTCAGTCTTGGAAAAGCGCCTCAGAGCATATCTAGAACGTGGGAAGTGCTGTGAAGTCAAACAGTGCTTTGCGGGACCTCGCACCGCTCCCCTGGAGCCAGAGCCCCAGTCTCCCGCCGGCATTCCACATCCACATCCTGGGTTGGGGGGACTTCCTGCTTCTCCAAAGAAGGAAGTGTCAAGTCAGTAAATTTTTTTCTGCCTTAAACAACAGCACAAAACAAAAACTTCATAACCCATCGGCCCTGGGAACATTTTAAGGAAAAAAAGAAGTCTTTCCTTAAGCCCCCCCAAAGGGAAATTCCTTTGAACTGCACGTGCTCGTGTGCCTGTGTGTCGTACTGATGACAGCTGGGGGTCTGTGTGCATAAGCGTGTTGGGGCGCCGATGCTCTGCTGGACGCTGTACTAAGTGATGTCTCCTGTGCTAACGTCTGCTGCCCTCCTGTCTGAGTCACTAACGGCAAAGCTGTGTGTGTTGCAGTGGGAACTGGAAGACGGCTTTCCTGCTTCCTGTGTCCGAGGCGTGGGAGAAGAGGTGCTTTATGATAACGCAGGCCTGTACGATAACTTGCCGTCTCCGAAAATCTTTGCCCGCCACTCTCCTGCCGACAGAAAGGCTTCGAGGCTGTCTGCCGACAAGCTGTCCTCTAACCATTACAAATACCCTGCCTCCACTCCGTCTCTCACTAATACCTCTTCTGTGGGGAGGGCATCTCTCGGGCTCAACTCCCAGGTACAGCATCTCCTTTGATAACCTTCTAGAATCTTCTGTAAGTCATATTCCTCTGACGGGGTTTTGCAATTTGAATACCAAGGAACGGAGGAAATGTTCGTAGCTGGCTCGGCGTGTCTAAGCACTGTTTCCTTGCCTACATCTGGCGCTCTTTCTATTCTTGGAAAATTCCCCAGTGAGTTCTGCAAATTATGTCAACTGAAAGCAAAGATTTTTTAAAAAGAACGGGGGCAATAAAACTTCTCAGAAGATTCTTGAACTTGCGAGTTTCTTTTATGTGTTGCCATTACCTATAATGAGGAAGGTCGACTTTATGCAGTAATTGCTTTTTGATCTTTAAACATGAACTCAGATTATTCCGAGTGCAGGAGTATTTTTCCATGATGAGTGTAATGGTATACTCTCTGAAGCCTAGTAGGTGTTGTAAGGGTTTTTGATGACTGTTGAATGGTGCTAACCTTGATATTGAACCAGTGTCCATCCCAAAGCCTGTATTTATGGGAAACAGTAACATTTCAGAGTAAATACTAATTTGGTGTCACCATTTTTTTTTTTTTTTAAACACATGGCTGTCTCATTATGTTGTCCAGGCTGGACTTAAACTCCTGAGCTCAAGCAATCCTCCCACCTCAGCGTCCTGAGAGGCTGGGATTATAGTTGTGTGCCACCACTGTATCCAGCTTATCTTGCATTTTTAACCTAAGATTTTTTTGTATTTTGCCTAAAGATCTAAGCCCATATGTAAGAACATTACCATCAAGCAAGTGGGCATATATTAACTGTTTTTCTTTTCCTCCATTCTTTGGGTAACCTTAAGAAAGTAATGAACCAGGTAAGCTCTTAGAATTCCAGGTTGTAGTGGCACAGAGCAGACTGGATTCATCCAAAATCCCATGCGAAGGTTTTTGTTCGTTTCTGATTTTCCCACAATGGCTGTCCAGATCTCATCCCTGGAGATTCTGATGCTGTCTGAGGACCCAAACCTAAGGTTGGGTGGGGGAGCGTTGGCTTCTAGGCTTTTCAGGAGGATTTGTGTGAAAAATCTGGTAGGTTATATGTTTTATTTCCTAAGAGAATGTGAATCTATGTGCATTTACCTGTCTTCTTACTGGTATTAGAGTTACCTTGGGTAAAAAACATGCAACAAAATGTGCCATCTTGTACATTTTAGTTGTCCCCAGATTAGTTGGGACTCATTGATGTGTGGGTTATGTGTGTTTTTATATATGTATGTATACAATTGTTTTTCCTTTTTGTTTGTTTTTGTTTAGCTGGGAAACACTTTTGCAGGCTGAATTATATCCTGCCCTCACTTGGTCATTCTGCTGGGAGCCTGTTACCTAGGGGAGAAAACTTATACTTACTGAACTTTTAGCAGTGTGCTTTGAGTTGTGTATGTGTATGTTCATGTTCATGGTGCATCATTTGATCTTTTTAGGAGCTCTGTGGGGAGGTAGGCTTATTTTTTTTTTTAAATGAGCAAAGGAGGCACAGAAAGTTTAAGGGACTTGCTCAGCTTCTCTTAAATGATGGAGCCATAATTTGAAGCCATCTCTGTCTAACTCCCAAAAACCGAGGCCCACAGAAGAAGGAAAGTAGCCTAATACGTAGTATCATGGAAACCATGTGGGTCTAGAGTTAACCTTGGCCATCATGCTGAATTTATTATACAGTCAAGGAACACATAATACCTTAAGCCGAATACAGCATGTGTTGGCTTGCAGCAGTCTAAGAAATAGAAGTACTATTTGATTTTTTTAAAAACATGGTTAGTCAAAATTTAGTTTCCCCATTATTGATACTGTGTCTATATTATGCTTCCTTCCTTCCTCATACCCCGTTGGCGGGTCACAAGGCAGTTATTTCTCCCATCAGGATATCTGTCACGCAGTAGTGAAGCCCCTGAAGCAGCAGAAATGTAACTGCAGAGTCATGCTACTCCCCTGAAAAGCATCCCACTAAAATAAATATTATGAAGCCTTAGAAGCCTTAGAAATACAAACTTTTAACTACAGATGTGTGGTAGTTCACATCTGTAATCCCAGCACTTTGGGAGGCTGAGGTGGGAGGACCGCTTGAACTTAGGAGTTCAAGACCAGCCTGAGTAGCATAACGAGACCTCGTCTCTACAAAATAAAAATACAAAAATGAGCTGGCTTTGGTGGTGTACACCTGTAGTCCCAGCTACTAGGGAGGCTGAGGCAGAAGGATCACCTAAATTGAGCTGTGATGGTGCCACTGCTCCAGCCTGGGCGACAGAGCAAGACCTTGACAAAAGTGGGGGGGGGAGAAGAAAGAAAAGAAATGCAAACTTTCAGTAATTGCAGTTGAATGCTCTTGGAAATTGCCTTTGCTAGTTTCTTGATAGGCACTTACCAGCTCCCAGCTGAAATGTGTGACCTCTACAGTATCCTGCTAAAGACATTCTGGAGAGCCTCTTTGCTGCGAGCCTTGATGCTCGAACCCCTGAGCCATTCCAGGAGAACCCTAGCAGCCAGTGTTTAGAATCCCGATTTTCTTTTATCTTCATTTTTTTCCCCTGCTTATGATACATGCTTCTCAAAGAGTCAGAGCCTGAGAGAAATTGTTGCAGAGGGAAAAAAGTTTGGTTTGTTTCATTTTTAATGTTCTCACATGTTTGTTTCAACAGTTCAAGGGTAAAAAGCCCCCAATGGCATCTAACGGGGTCCCAGGAAAAGGGAAGTCTCTGAACAGCCAGCCTAAAAAAGCGGATTCCACAGCCGGTGTGAAACGGACATCTTCGAGTGAGTTTGTCATTTGATGTCTTGCTGGCCGGTTTTAAAGCAGTTTGCAGAGGGGGCGGGGGCGGGGTAAGCGTGCTCACCGGTGAGCTTGGGGGTGAGGTGTGCTCTGTCATCCTCATTGGCCCGATGGAACAATGGCAATGATTTCAACCCAGCTTTTATCACTGTTTGTGTGAAGGAAAACCCAGCACTGGTTTGCTAACTGTGAGATTGGGTCAGTCTAAGTCTGAGACAGGCCGGGTGCTGTGGCTCACACCCAGAATCCCAGCACTTGGGGTGGCCGTGGTGGAAGCCAGGGTTTGAGACCAGCCTGTACAACACAGCAAGGTCTCGTCTCGATAGTTTTGTTTTTAAAAAAAAAACAATGAGACAATTGTGAGTATAGGTTGCAGCCCTGCGTCAGTTGACCCTGGACTCCAGGTCTGAAGACCTCCACTCGCGTCCTTGGTCTGCTCTTGACAAGCCACATGGGCTCTCTGAACTCAGCTGCTGTGTCTGCCAGACACACACAAATGGCTGTTGAGATTGAAATAATTGAGGTAACACAGGTACCTTTGAGCACTGGAGAAGCTCAAGGGCTTAAAAGGAAGGAGGAACCCTGCAGTATGTTACAGTCTGCGGGAAGTCATTTTCTGTCTCCACCTGCTTATTTCTCTTAGCTGCTTTGTAAAGGTAGGGATTGTCACCTGCCCTATGTACAAGTGGGAAGAGAATCCCCAAGCCTCCCTGAGGGCTATGACTGACCTGTCACGGAGCCAGAGTGAGTGCCAGGCTTTCCGACTGCACACGTGTCAGGCACAGAAGCAGCAGAACGTGGGACGGGAGACGCAGCTGTCTCAACACTTGGGTCCTTCCCCTGGGTGATAGGTCTGGGGGGTGTTGTGTGTGTGTGTGTGTGTGTGTGTTTTATTGGGTGCCTGCTCGTCCGTCCAGCCAGGCGGCATCTATTCACGCTGCACTCTGCTTGTTGCCAGGGCCACAGAGATAAGCTAGAAGAACTGCCATGCGAGGCCATACCCTGGGTTTTTAAAAAGGTTTAGGAGCTCCTAAGTCCATCTGGGCGTCCAGGAAGGTTTCCCTGCACCCAGGATCTGTACCTGAACTTCCCAAATCTGGGTTCGTGCAGCTGGTAGACCAGCCTCTGTGCTGACGACGCGGAGGCTGGCTCACTCCAGGGGGTAACTCCAAACCAGTGTGGAAGCCAGGGGCTTCAGGACCGACACGTAGCTGTATCTGCATGCGTGTGGTTGAGATTTGCAGAGTCAAGGAGTGCGTAGAGGGCAGTGGAGAGGCTGGTGTCATCCTGGCCATGCACGCGGACCAGTCTGGAACCACCCGCCATGCTGGGTGCCTCCGCCCCCAGGAAGCGTCTACATTCTTGATGTGGGCTTATCCCCACCCCCGCTCTGCCCCAACATCCGCTCTAAGCAGATAGGTCAGGTACGTGGCCACGCCCTCTTATAATTGGCTTAACGTGCTGACTTACTGGGACCCTGTCTCTCTGGCAGTTGTCATGTCTCTACTCTGGTGGGGTGTATTCATATTCATGCTTTTTAAGTGTTGCTCCCTTGGGCAGGGTGGGAAGCAGAAAGGGATAACTCGTGCCTGGAATGCTCTGTAGAAAGCAAGACCTGAATCACGTGAAGTGTCAGTCGCCACAGCATGTCAGTACCTGTGCTTATTTTATTTCCTAGATGATGTATTCCTTTATTTTATGAGCCCTTTGTAGGGAATTTTTCTTAACTTTGGTGACATCTAATGGCGACAAAAGAGAAAAATAATTGCATTCTGTGTTTTTGCTGAGTCCTGCCACTTGTATTATATAGATCATGTGGGATTTATTGCTTGGAGACCAAAAGATGTGGATGTTTACAGGTTATTGTGTGTGGGTCTGTTGGGGGAACATCTTAGTTTAGAAATAAGTGAGCAGAGTTTAGACTTGGCCCTGTTTGCAAGATTTGCCATTACTGTAGCAACGAGTAGCAGTGCTTGTGTTTCAGATCATGGAGTGGCCAAACTCAGGCTGCCTGTGCTTTGGTGTCATTCTGGGTGTTTCTTTCTGGTGAGAGGAAATCGATCAGGGAGTGATGACTTTACGTGTGCCTTCATAAGGGCAGTATTTCCTTGAAGTCATTATGGTTGCATCTCAAGCCGTGGTGAATTCATCTTCCGGGGAGGCACTAGGCATGGCTCCCCGCTGACTCAGATGGCTATGGAATTGGCCATCGCTGATAATAATAAGAGTCACCAAGAGTGTCCACTGCGTCCTAGCATCAGGTCATTTTTTCAGCTTCTTTTTAGGTATATATATCTATTTTTTTTTTTTTTTGAGTTGGAGTCTAACCCTGTCGCCCAGACTGGAGTGCAGTGGCATTCTCTCGATCACCCCAGCATCAACCTGCTGGACTCAGGTGATCCTTTCGCCTCAGCCTTCCAAGTAGCCGGAACTATAGGCGTGCACTACCACGCCCAGCTAATTTTTTAATTTATTTTAGAGACAAGGTCTTGCCAAGTTGCCCAGGCTGGTCTCGAACCCGGGCAATCCACTCTCCTTGGCCTCCCAAAGTGCTGGGATGACAGGCTGAGCCACCGAGCCCGGCCCATATCTCTAATTTTTAAACATCAGAAGGTCATCCTCATTGTTCCGCCGTATGGAGCGTGGAGCTGAGGCTTAGGGAGAGAGGGTGTCTGACTGGGATCCTGTCGCAAGGAAGGGGCCCAGGGCGGGTTGGTGTCCCCTCTCTGGGGCCAGTGTCTTCACTGTCAAGACAACGCTGCCTCCCGTGGCTGCTGCCCGAAGCGGTGTCTCGTCCAGTGAGGGGGTCTGGCGTGTGGACTATGAGCTGATACAGGTGTGCGTGAAGGATAGCAGGCCTGAGAGCAGCCCAGGAGAGTGCTCACAGGAAGCTGTTAGGAGACACTTGGAGCTTCCAAGCCGGTGGTCCACGACCAGAGTTTTGTTAGGATCTTCACCTTCGGTGTATTTTCCCAAAGAGGTTTTTTCTAAATTCCTGTTACTGAAAAGCCAACGTAGGAAGAGGAAGAGAGCATCAGGTCGGGGTTTTAATATTCTGTCAACTGATGGTGTGGTGTTGGCCAAGTACTTATATTTTCTTTCATTCATTCGTTAAGCAAGGTGTTGTGATGTGCTCACTTTTGAGTTTGTTCTAAAAGCTTTATTAATTTTAATTTAATTCTCACAACAACCCTGTGAATGGCCTGCTCCTCTTGTCCCCGATGTCATCGATGAGGAAACTGAAGCATAGCGAGATTTAGCACTATGACCTTGAGGTCATGCAGCTACAGGTAGCGAGCTGAGATTCACACCTAGACAGTCAGGCTCCAGGCAGCACTCCATGCTGCCTGTTTGTCTGTTCATTTGTTCACTCAGCCAACATCTATTGTGTGCTCACGCCATGCTGGCTGCTGATCTCAGGTCTGTGGCATCAAGACAGCGCCAAACTGGTAGCATCGTTATGAGGAACAGACACCGAGTGCTGCGGAGGTGTTCTGAGCAATTTGGAGACCTGCACAAACTCCAGAGAGTGTTTTTGGTAGCAACGAGACCTTCATCTTTACAGCCCATAGGGTGTTCACCTCCAGCCTTGTGGGAGGTTAATTATATGTTGTATGCCTCAAAGGGTAGTGAACTAAAGGAATTTCTTCATACTCTATTTTCATGCTTCAAACTGACTCAAAGAATATTGGAGAATTTGAGCTAGTCACCTTTCTGCTTAGGTCAGAACCGTCCTGTCCTTTGCCTCATTGAATCGGCGGAATCACTAGCTTCAAGGTTTGTTACGGAGTCGGTGATTCAACGGTTGTATGAGTTGCTCAATGAAACCTCCTCTTCTCTCGCTGTGTCTTTCTTTTTGAGATGCTGACCAGTACAAGTACGGCAAGAACCGGGTGGAGGCCGACGCCAAGCGGCTGCAGACCAAGGAGGAGGAGCTGCAGAAGAGAAAGGAAGCCCTGCGGAACAGGCTGGCTCAGCTCCGGAAGGAGAGGAGGGACCTCCGGGCCGCCATCGAAGTGAACGCCGGTACGAACGGCTAGCCCGACTACCTGGACGCCCGTGTGTGGGGGAGCTTGTGGGTTTCCTTCCACATTGTCCAAAGGGGCTGTGACTCACCCATTCAGCAAGAGAACATTGTTCTGCACAGTGCTTCCGGGTGGGAGGCATTGCTGGTAAGCCCCGGGCAGGTACCTGGATGGTCAGCAGTGCAGCACCCAGGCAGAGGCCAGCCCCTGACCCACAGGCCGTGACCCAGGCAGGGGAGGTGTGGGTCCTGGGTCAGCCTCAGGTGCTGACAGCGGTGACATCTGGAGGCCAACCCGCATGGCCGCAGGTCTGGGTAGATTCTAGTCACAGCGTGAGATGAGTCCCTTGGGTGTTGGGCAGGTAGCCCGCAGGGTTGCATGGATGTTCAGGAGTCCAGCCCAGGTGAGGTGTCCCTGTGTGGGTGAGGAAACCCCATTCCCTGAGAAGGGAAAGGTGAGAGCAAGGTGGTGCCCGGGTCTTGGGGCACCTGGGATGAGGCAGGTTCATGGAATGCAGCCCCCCAGAGAGGACCTGAGAGTAAAAGCACAGTTACCAGGGAAACTGAGTCAGAGCCCAAGCAGTACCACCAGCCAGGCTTGTCTGTTCTTACTCGTGGGAACTGGGTGTTCAGTTCCCGATTCTGGGAACGGAACTGCTTAAATATATGTGCCTCAGTTCCAGGCTGGCTCTTCTACTGGGCAGAGTGGGCTCTGGAGATTAGCCTAGGCAGGGAGAGAAGAGGGTGCGGGTGCTGCAGAGGACTGAGACATCCAGGGAGGTCGCTCTGGCGTTCAGGTGGTCCTCGTGCCACCCCCTGCAGGAACCCAGCACCCTGGCTTTCTTGGCTTCATGCCTGGATGACCGCAGCGAAGGCAGGTGCTTTTGGGGTTCAGGGGATGGGGGGACAGGCCAGTAGGGAGGATGAGGGATGGGAGATGGAGGACGGGAAGCCAGGGCAGGCCAGCCAGATTAGGCTGGCCCTGCAGGAGGAGGCAGGATGTGATGCCAGCAGTGGCAGCTAGGAGGGATTAAAAGCCGAGTCCAAGAATGGGCTCGGGCACTGAGTGTCACAAGACACGAGCAGCATTTCTTCCCTCCATTGTTGCAGGCGTGCTGGGTTGGGGAGGTGCAGAAGGGCTAGAGAGGTCTTGGCCTTGAGAAAGAACCTTGCGTGCACGAGGGACTGGTCTCGACTCTTGGGACCGGTCTTCTCATCTGTGCAGTGGGTCCATTCCCTGCCATCTTAGGTCACTGCAAGAAATCTCAAATAAAATGAGTGAAGCATATGTGCCTTGCAGACAGGTATGCCATGTTCCACGAGATGCCGGCCGTGCTGGCGTTTGTTGCCATGGGGCAAGTATGATGACTTAATAACTAGTGAAGAAATTAGAAGAGAATGATATTCAGACATTCCAAGGCGGTGGCATCTTTGGGAACTGCACAGTTTAGGCTCCACATTTTCATTTTTCCTAATTTAATTAAATTTGTTTTAGAGATGGGGTCTCACTCTGTCACCCAGGCTGGAGTGCAGTTGCATGATCATAGCTTAACACAGCCTCGGTCTCCTGGGCTCACGCGATCCTCCTGCCTCAGCCTCCTGAGTAGCTGGGGCTATAGGCACGTGCCACCACGCCTGGCTAATTTTTTAAATTTATTGTGCAGATCGCCAAGTTGCCCAGACTGGAACTCGACATTTTTAAGTGAGCACATTGGGGCCCACACCCAGGAACTCCTAGCATTTGTGAGAAACACCATCTCCTGTCTCCTGGTCCCTGTCCTTCTGGCTGCAGCAAAAGAAGTAGTTGGAGAAGGACTTTGGTCCTTTAGAGAATGGCAGAATTTAGGTTTGGCAGAATTTAGGTTTTGCAGAAAGGACCCAAGTCAGAGGAGCATGACCTAAAAAGTCTTACAGAAATACCGTTAGGGGGACCAAGTGTCTTCTCTCTGAGGGGGACCCCAAAACCCCAGAATTTATTTATAAAAAATTTTGTATATAGCCGGGCTCGGTGACTCAGCCTGTCATCCCGCGCCTTTGGGAGGCTGAGGTGAGTGGATTGCCTGAGCCCGCGGGTTCGAGACCCGCCTGGGCAGCGAGACCTCATCTCTACAACAAATCAAAAAATCAGCTGGGCGTGGCAGCGCATGCCTGTAATTCTGGCTACTCGGAAGGCGGAGGCGGAAGGATCGCTGGCGCCCAGCAGGTCGAGGCTGCGGGGGCCGGGAACGGCCCTTGCCCTCCAGTCTGGGCGACCAAGTGAGACTCCGACTCAAAAAAAAAAAAATTGTGTATTTATTGTTACATGTGTAAACTTCAGTCTCTTCAAAGTTCTCTCCGAGTGATGCAATCCGCCTACTGAGCTGCTTTTTCCAATGCTTAGAACAGGTTTTGAGCTCGTCCATTTCGATGCCTTTCTGTACTCGTGCCGTTTTTTGGTCTCACCTCTTTCACGTCGGCAAAACGTTTCCCTTTGAGGATTTTTTCCATCCAGGGAAGCAAAAACAGCCCCTCAGGGAGCGGGCAGGTGGATAGAGAGGGTGGGACGCAGGGGTCCTGCCATTTCTGGCCAAAAACTGCTGACCACTCAGTACAGTGTGGGCAGGGCACTCGTCAGTCGCCCATCATGAAACGGGCGCACGCGTTGAAAGAGTCTCCAAAAAAATTTCACCGAAGCCAGACACAGCCTCTCTCAACGCTAGCTGGGACACTGACGCGGTGGTCCCTAGAACACTCACCGAGTGGGGGAAGCCTGTACTGCAAGGGGCTGCCCTCCAGAAGATAATTCTGGGTGTTTTGCCCCTGCCCCCCATGTATTTTGTACCTCTGGGGCTGACGTGCCTCCTCTGGGTTCCAGGTAGGAAGACCCAGGTGATCCTGGAGGACAAGCTGAAGAAGCTGGAGGAGGAGTGTAAGCAGAAGGAGTCAGAGCGCGTCACGCTGGAGCTGGAGCTCACCGAGGTCAAGGAGAGCCTGAAGAAGGCGCTGGCGGGCGGGGTCACGCTGGGGCTGGCCATCGAGCCCAAGTCGGGGACGTCGAGCCCTCAGGTGAGCGCCCACTGGCTCGCCTTGGGGGACGCCGGTGTGCAGAGGGCGCCCGCAGCTGTGGGGGGCTTGCTCGTGGGCCCCAGCAGTGCGGCAGGAGACACCTCTGCGCTGGCTGCCGGCCGTCTCAGCCGGCCCCGCCCTCCGACAGCAAGGCTCCCACCCCTCCCACGGAGGCGGTCCGAGTGGCCAGGCCGCTGAGCCGTCTCTGGCCCCTGCGCATCATCCGATGAAAATGGCCAGTTCTTGGCCGGGTTCGGTGGCTCAGCCTGTCACCCGAGCACTTTGGGAGGCCGAGGCGAGGGGATTGCCTGAGCCCGCGGGTTCCAGACCCGCCTGGGCAACTTGGCGAGACCACGTCTCTACAATCCATCAAAAATTAGCCAGGCATGGTAGCGTGCACCTGAAGAAAATGTAATTCAACAAGCACACTTGCATAAAATGTCCAGCGCATCTGAGAATCGCGCCGGGGCTGTAGAAGCTGAAACGAAGCCTGTGCCGTCTTAGGACCTGACAGCACTGGGCGGTCACTTCCCCACCGCAGCCTGTCACCTTGACCGCTGACTCTTCACCTCATCCGACTCGTGGTCACTGAGCACAGACTTGGCTTTTCCCCCTGATTATCCTGTTGAACCTGCGTCTTGTGCATCAGGTGTTATCACTTCCATTTACCAGTGAGGAGCTTAGGGCCCAGAGAAGCCAGCTTGGCAGGGGGAGCAGACAAAAGCAGGCAGCTGCAAGGGGCCAGCCAGGACGTCAGTGCTTGCTTCAGCTGAAGCACCATGGGGCATCCCTGCTTGCCTGCATCCTGAACACTTGTTCTGCATGCTTCTTTTTATTTTATTTTAATCTTTTTTTTTGAATTGGAGTCTCGCTCTGTCACCCAGACTGGAGTGCAGCGGCCACTCCCA